TTAGAGATTGTCTATTTCTTATATACACCTACCTCTAATAGCCACTCTAAAGGAAGAAAAAAAATTGAATCACAAAAGGGCAGAATTTTAAATCAGGATGCATTGGAAAATAAATTTGGGGACATCAGGTCGGTTTTGGATTTTAGAGAGAGATCAATCTCAAGAAAAGTTTAATTTATCCTGCAGAACAACCAGTAGTTTAAGTAGGATTTGCTATAACTTTATTAGAAGATTTCCTTGATAATAAATTGTAATATACCAATTGTTTCAAATGAAATTGAAAAAGAGTTAAATACGAAATTAGATTTTTCATGGGTAAAATGTTATATTCATTCAAACATTGTAAGGTAATCTGTAATAAAGATAATGTGGAAAATAGGTATACCCTGGTGGTGTAAGAGACAGGTAAAGGGCGATGACAAAAAGATTACAAAAATGTATTCATCTTTAAATAGTGTTTATTATTATTATTTGCTATGTTTGAAAAGTACCTCCTGCTGCAGAACAGATCGAATAGATTAGACTACTAGTTGGAAAAGGTCCACCTAGTAACCAATTTAGGAGACTAGGAAAACTTTTACATGACTGCGGACACAACAGGAATGCACACGCACAAGATACACAAACAAATGAAATAACAGGGGTAAGCCTTCAGCAATGTCCTGTTAAAATGATGATAGTATCTCATCCTTCATTCCCTTTTAGAAGGCATGGCAACTTACTTAACTCGGGCCTTATAAATTTGTGTTGAGTGTATGTGTGTTTGTTTCGTTTCCATGGTTTCTATTAAAATAAACAGTCATAACATATCCATACCTTTTTGCCAGACTAATGTAAGCGACATTTGTTCAAATGGCACTTATGATAGTCTGGCAAAAAGGTATCGATATACTCTATACTTTATAAGATATTTGTTACATTAGTTTTTAAATATATTTTGAATATATAACATGTTACTTTCTTTGTAATTTGTCACAAAATGATAGGAGGTACTTTCTAAAGGAAGCAATTGTAGTTTGTTTTTCTGTACCTTACAAAAATATAATTTATAGAAAAAGAGTTTGGTGTATTATTTTTCCAAGTTTAAATATTTAATAATCAATAGAATTTTCAAGTTTTTTTTAGCGAAATTTACAAGAGTAATAAAAACTATGTTCACTGCTTATATTAAACTGATTAAAACTTCCTTTATTAAAATGATTATTTATATGATAAAAAAATTGATGTTATTGGAAGCTTTAATATTTTTTAATATACAGTGAAACAATAGTTTTTGTTTCTCCTGTAAATTTGTATAGAAAAAATATTTATTTCTGAATCCATGTTTGAATTTCCCGCCCTAAAGCATTTTTAATTTTCCCGCTATTTACTAGTGGCGCCATCATAGACTGGTTGTGGTTACAATCGCCCAAATAACTTTTACCGAACAAAAAAAATACATTGAGTTACACGTCTCGCTGGATTGTCTCTGTTGGTATCGACTCACTCGATATCAAGTCACTCGATGTCGAGTTACAACACTATAGGTATCGTCTCGAAGAAAACCGAGATTTTCGAGTCGGGCGATACCTAAGGTAAACACATGCATTGTGTGGGTAGGTATATCGTTTTAACTTGATTCAGATTTTTATAAAATTAAGTACTTAGTTCAAATAAAAGCTTTTTATCTTTTACGTGTAATATTTAAATATAATAAAAAAACATATATTCAAATAAAATTAAACTTTACAAAATACAATTATTTTGTTACATTAGGTATTTATGTTTTTTATTTTAACTTTTTATGTTAGGGATGATACTTATTTCGAAATTATAGGTAATTTTGTAGGTGAATCTGACAATTTTTTTTTTAATTCTTTACTTTCTTTTACATAAATCTTCCGTTTCGTGTTCTTACTCTTTTAAAAAAATGGGCAATTTAATTTATTTGTATAAATATATCAACGCTTTGGCAACGACAGCCTGAAATCGCTGTTTGCAATCAGAATTTGATGCAAGAAAAAAATTAAAGCTTGAAAAATTTTGAAGAATGAAAAAAGTTTGATAAAAGATGGGTATTTTTCCAACTACGGAAACACTGTCTAGATCACGTCTAGACCTAACTATCCTTCTTCGTTGGTCTAGACCGAGGTCTAAACTTATATCTTTCAGAAGGTGAGTTCGGGCTACGTATTGGTCGTGTTTTCGTCGTCAAAAATATTTTAAAATTTGAGAAGCACGTTTCATAAGCGGTTGATATGACGCTGCAAATCTCTAGTCTTCATTCGCTGCACAATCATTTTGTTTACGATTTGTTTTCTCAACCTTGAAGCTGTCAAAAAAATTGAATGACATTTGGTTGCAGTGTTGCTAGACGTAGCGGAATCCCGCTATTCGTAGCGGAATTTTATCGAGGTAGCGGCGTAGCGAAGGTAGCTCAAAATACCTTAAAACGTAGCGGAATCTGCCACAGTACAAAAAATAATAATTCTTATAGAAATTGTATAAACATTATTTGTACCATTTAATATAAAGACGAGTTCAGTCAAATAACATAAAAAAATAGGTAACTTTTATGGTAGCGACATCCTGTGCCTTTTTTAATATCGTTAAGATGAAATTAGGTTAAAATCACAGAACATATAATATTTCTTCCGTATTAGGATTTGACTTATTTTTTTTTATTTTTCGTCGTTCCACCAATTCACTTGTTACAAAAATGTTAAAATAAATCAATAAACCCACTTTGGTTCTGTGAACATAAAACAAGCAAAATGTGACATATGACATGTTATATGACAAGAGACAGTAGCGCGTAGCGGAACGTAGCGGAATTTTTAAATTATTGTAGCGGATTTTTTCATTAACACCCTGGCAACACTGTTTGGTTGACATACAGAAGGTTATGTGTATTGTTTTGCTTATTATATTTTAATTGGTTTTGATTTTACTTTTGATTCCGTGGTATTAACACTGAGATGGCGGTCTCAGAATCGGGAGTCAGGTGTGAATGTTTTCGTAAAAATCGTAAACAAGTACAGTCATCGAGAAGTGAATATTGTCTAATGTGATTAAGGTATTTAGTAGCAACAATAGTGCATCAAAATTTTTTGAATCTGAAGATTATAATTTGTCACATGGTGTGTTGTGCATCCTGTGACAAAAAAAGAAATTTCCTTTAAAATATCCACCTTTCATACAAAAAACTCCAATACAATTACCCTAGGCCGAATAGCCCTGGCAGCTGAGGTCTACAAAAATTGAATTGAAGAAGAAGGTTTTGATTTGAATTGATTATTTGTAGAGTTAATTAGAATTTATATAGTACTTTACTGTAAGTGGTTTTGACAATTTTACGGCGGAAAAACCTACAACTTGTATTATTATAAGTCATCGGCTTATTATTATTTACAATAGCATACAATGACACTCATGTTCTTAGCTGCATTACAAAAAATTGACTTTACTCAACAATTACACTATTCATTGATGGGAGATTAAATTATTAGAAAAGTTCAACCTGAATAAATAGAATAAACGTACCTTTCCAACCACATATGAAAAGTATTTACAACTTTCGTTGCAGTTTTAATAACAAAACTTTCATCTGCTTTGAATAATAACTGTGCTAAAACTATATATTCCTTACTGGTAGATTTCCATTAACGTACAAATAAAATAATTTAAGTGTACGTGTAGGTAGGTATCTATTATACGTTTTAAATTAATTTTATTTTCTTTAAACAGGTACCTCCATGAATAATGTTATTTTGTCTAAGGTTATAATAAACTATAACTTAACGAACCAAACTTATTACAGTAAAACCTTAAATAATTATTAAATAAATAAATAAACACATAATCTAAATGCTAAAAACAGATTTGACAGGGGTTCAAGGTCAATTTTATGCTTTTTATGTTGCGTTTTTAAAGTACGTCGTTTTACTTTATTTCCTGGATACAGCTTTTTTTCTTCGTTTGCTCCATTGATATGATTTGCATTGCAATATGTAACAAAAACAACTAGATATGATTGCGGCGGTACACATTTTTTGACTTTCTTTAAACGGCAGTATTAAGAGGTCATGTATTTAATAAAAGGCTTGTTCGAGAAAGTCTCGAACACATTCAGTTTAGTATGTACAATAAATATATATTTTTTTTTGTATCATACTGTATATTTTTATTCATAGTATAGACCCGCAGTGGAAGAGCTCTGGTTTTCCCTAATCTTTTAAAATAGCAAAATAAGCTCCAATCAAGGGTTATAAAATTTCTATTTAAACGGATAATAGTCCGTCATAACTTACTTAACCTAGGTACTAATCCACAACAATGTTAACGGACGGTTTTTCCCGAGCAATAGGCCTGGTACTTCTGGGGGTTTAAGGAGGGAGACCGGGCTGATAAAAAGGGTATCGCTAACAATAATCAGAGACTTCAACGATATTTCGTGTTTAAATAAAACGTTTGTAAACCGTTAAAAATTACATGGTCCTTCGAGATAAAATAAGTTTTAAACAAGTTTTAGTAGTTTTTCTTCTTCGACAAGACCTATGGTGTAACGAGACGTGTAGTTCTCCTACATAGTTATTGGTCCTTCGAGCCGGATTTAAAAGAAAACAACCAGCATAAAGAAAAGAAAAATACATTTCAAATATAAGCCGCTTCCTGGTTTAAAAGTGTTCCTGAGTTAGTCCTGATTCCTGGTGAAAGAAGCCGCCTCCTGAGTTAAAAGTGTTCCTGAGAGTTAGTCCTGATTCCTGGTGAAAGAAACCGCCTCCTGGTTTAAAAGTGCTGTTCCTGAGAGATATTCCGGTACAAAGAAGCTGTTCCTGGTTACGAGCAAAACATTTCTAACTAATCACGAGATAAAAGGTCAGATAAATTTATTCCTAAGGCATTATATATTTCAAAAAGACAATTGTAAATATTTCTAAAAAAATTTCTTTATAATATCTATTTAGTTAATGAGTTGGTTTCCTTCACATATTGATTGTATATTTATTAGTAAAATAGAAATGGAAGCGTTTGTTAAGCAGCGAGCTATAGAAAAAGGAAAGATAACAAGAATTGAAAATTGGATTGAAATTAATCAAAATATTGAATTGCGCACATATGAATTTAAAAGTAGATTAGAGCTTTTAACTAATGCTTTTGAAACTTACTGTTCCATTCAAAATGATATTGAAATGTTAGATGATACTCAATGTACAGACCGGGATATCGTTGAAGAAAGATATTGTTCAGCTCGTACCGTAATTGAAGAAAGAATTCATTCTTCTTCTAGTTTATTGAATTTAAGTCAAAATTCTAGATCCATTTCTCGTATAAATAAACCTCAATTAAACATTCCAGAATTTACTAGAGATATTACTCAATGGAATTCCTTTTTTGAGTTATTTGAAAATTTGATTGAAAAAGATACTTCATTAACAGAAGTAGAAAAACTTATATATCTTAAATCCTATTTAAAAGGGGAACCCTTAAACTTAATTTCAAATTTGCAATTAATTAACGATAATTTTAAGGTAGCACTAGATTCATTAAAAAATAGATACCAAAATCAATTGAATATTATATATGCGTACATAAAAAACTTATTAGATGCAAATTCATTAAACAAATCTGATGCTGGAACCCTAAGAAATTTCACTACATTTTTAAAACAGAATGTAGAAGGCTTCAAAAATTTAAATGTAAATGTGCATGAATGGGATATAATTTTAGTATATATTTTTTCTCAAAAATTAGATGGTAGTACAAGGAAGGCATTTGATTTTGAAATTCCTCCCAATACAAGACCGACGTTAACACAGTTCTTTAATTTCTTAGAACATAGATGTTCCACTTTAGAAAGATCAATTATTCCTAATTTACAGCAAAATAAAAATAATGTTCACTTTCAAAAAAATTCTCATCATGTACACATATCACAAAATTCGCAATTTAATCAGATTAACAGGACAAATAATTCCCAAATAAATAAAGGTAAATGTCTATTTTGCAATTTGAATAACCACAAAATTTATGGGTGCTCAAAATTTAGTGGGATTTCACATGATGAAAAAGTAAATTTCATAAAAAACAATAAATTATGCTTTAATTGCTTAGCGTATAATCATTATACAACTGAATGTAGCTCTCGTGGTTGCTCTATATGTCAAAAGATGCATCATACACTTTTACATAAAGACCAGCGTTTCCAACAAATTTCTCAAAATAGTAAATATATCCCGTCCAGAGAAGATGCCCAAAATACGTCAAATTCAAATTACAAGGGATCGTCCAATTTTAGAATGAATTCTTCTAATGAAAATTATAATAATCATTCCTACACTAGAAATAATGTTCCGTCTTACAATCAACGTCCAGGTTTTTCAAATTCACAAGGAAGTGATAATTCAAATGTGTCGTTAAATGATCATAGTTCTGAAATTTCTCCTCAACAAAATACAGTTATGTCCACATTATCGTCCAGTGGTGAAGCATTGCTAGCAACAGCAATGGTAACAATTTTCACTGCGGAAAACGTTCCCATTCAAGCAAAAGCGGTATTAGATCCTTGCAGTACAACTTCCTTAATCACAGAAACTTTAGTAGATAAACTCAAATATATTTCACAAATGAAAAATATTCAAATTAATGGTGTTGATGGGATAGTTACAAATTCAAATAAAATTGTAAATCTTAGCATTCATTCAAACGTTAAGAAAAATATAAATTTTAATATCACATGTTCAGTGCTTAAAAAAATCACTCAAAAGTTGCCACAATTTTCATTACGCAGGGAAAAAATTTCTATTCCTGCTAATATTGAATTGGCAGATCCAAATTTCCATGTACCCTCACACATTGATTTGCTTTTAGGAGCAGATATTTATTATAGCTTGATAACAGGGGGAATAATAAAAATTTAAAAAAACTTTCTAACCTTGGTAGAAACAAAATTAGGATATATTATAGGAGGTCCAATACCTCGAGAAGCCATTTCATATTTTACAAGTCAAAATTCTCCTACAATAAATAATTGTTTCATGTTACAAAATTCCAATTCAGACGACTTATTACTAAAATTTTGGGAAATAGAAGAAGTTTCAATTCCAAATAAAATACTCAGTCCTGAAAATCAGTTAGCTGAAAAAATATTTCTTGATAGTTCTAAAATTCTGAAAAATGGTTTCTTTCAAGTTAACTTACCTTTAAAAAATCCTAAGGAGCATTTGAAATTAGGTGATTCTTTTTCCTTGGCCAAGAGAAGATTTTTTACTTTAGAAAAATGATTTGAAAAATATCAAATGTTATTCAACCGATATAAAGAATTTATAGATGAATATGTTTCCTTAGATCATGCTAGGTACGTTCCTCTACTCTTTAAAAATGAAATTCATGAAAATAAATATTTTCTTCCACACCATTGCGTAATACGAGAAAATAATTCTAGTACAAAATTACGAGTGGTATTCGATGCCAGTATGAAAACATCCTCCGGGTTTTCCTTAAATGATACTATGTTAAAAGGTTTTCCTGTTCAACCAGAATTATTTGATATTCTCTGTCGTTCCCGAAGTTTCACATTTGTTCTCACTTGTGACATACAAAAAATGTATAGAATGATTAAGATTAATCCGTCTCAAACATTCCTTCAAAATGTTTTATGGCGTGAAAACCCCCTAGATCCGTTAAAATGTTTGGAACTTCAAACAGTTACCTATGGTACAAATAGTGCTCCTTATTTAGCCACTCGGGTTTTAAATGAGCTAGCAATTAGAAATAAAGAAATGTTTCCATTAGCGTCAGATGTAATACTTTCACAATGTTATGTTGATGACATTCTATGCGGTAGCAATTCCTTAGAAAGTTTGACAGAAACATATATCCAGTTAAAAAAGTTACTAAATTCAGCAAATTTTTGTTTACAATAAATGGTGTTCAAATGACTCACAATTTCTAAAAAATGTGTTGAAAAATGATATTCAAGAAAGATTTGATATTAAGATTGAAAATATGCCAAATAAAGTGTTAGGCATTTCGTGGGATCCAAATTTAGATCAATTTTCAGTAACACTCCCAAAAATGTCCAATGAAGGTTTAATGACAAAACGTTCTGTATTGTCCCAAATAGCCCAAATGTTCGATCCTCTAGGTTTAATTTCTCCCATAATCGTAGTTGCAAAAATGTTGATGCAAAATATTTGGATTTCAAAATTAAATTGGGATAATAATTTAAATGATGAACTAGCATTTCAATGGTCAGAATTCATTAAAAATATTGATCATGTGTCAAATCTAAAAATTCCGCGTTTCTTATTCTGTAAAATTAAAAACAATATTTCCAAAATTGAAATTCACGGATTCTGTGATGCTAGTTTAAAGGCATATGGTGCTGTCATATATATACGTGTTATTTATTCAAATAATGTAGTTTCATGTAATCTTGTTGCTTCAAAAAGTCGAGTCACTCCTTTAAAAACCATCACACTACCTCGCCTCGAGCTCTGTGGTGCAGTATTACTATCAAAGTTGACAACGAAAATACTTTCAATTTTTGAAAATAATATTTTAATTTCCACTGTAAACTTATGGACAGATTCTGAAATTGTGTTATGTTGGCTTAAAGCGCACCCATCAAAATGGTCAATCTTCGTATCCAATAGAGTTTCTGAAATTCAGCAACTTACTTCAAAATTCCAGTGGCGTCACGTACGTTCAGAAAATAAACCAGCAGATTTTCTTTCGAGAGGAATGACTCCGCAAGAAATAATTGATTCCTTAGTTTGGTGGCATGGGCCACAATTTTTACAAAGTTTAGAGTTAGAGTTACTTGAGTTTAATTCCCAACATACAAAAATAGTAGATATTCCAGAAGAAAGAAAGATAAAAAGTGTTTTACATAATACAAAATAAGATCCTTGGTCAAATTTTTGGGATTCCCTGTTGTCAAAATTTTCCTCAATTATAAAATTAAAAAGAGTAGTAGCCTATTGTTTAAGATTTGTAAATAATTCAAGAATTATAAATTCTGAAAAGGTTTCAGGTACATTAAAGGTAGAAGAACTTCAAAGTGCTCAAACACTCATAGTTAAAGTTTTGCAACAAAAATATTTCTTTAGAGAAATTTCAGAATTAACTTCCAAGAAAATAATTTCAAATAAATCTTTATTACATCTGTCTCCATTTCTTGATAAGTCAGGACTTCTTAGAGTTGGAGGTAGATTGTCTTACGCAGAATTACCGTATGATCAAAAACACCCAATTTTGTTGCCTTCGAAAAACTTTGTGACTACGCTTATAATTAATTATGAGCATTTAAAATTAGGACACGCTGGAGCTCAGACCACGTTGTCAAATCTTCGTTTAAAATATTGGCCGTTAAATGGATTAACTGAAATCAAAAAAATAATAAGAAATTGTATAGTTTGTATAGATATAAAGCAAAGGCATGTGAACAAATAATGTCCGATTTACCTCGTGATAGGTTAAAACCATCAAGACCATTTTCCAAAGTTGGAGTGGATTATGGCGGTCCTTTCTTAGTAAAAAGTTCACATTTGAGGAAAGCTCCTTTAGTAAAATGTTATATTGCGGTATTCGTTTGTATGATTTCAAAAGCTGTACATATAGAATTAGTTTCGAATTTATCCACAGAAGCTTTCATTTTAACTTTAAAAAGATTTATTTCACGCAGAGGTAATCCTACAATTATATTTAGTGATAATGCTACAACTTTCTTAGGGTCGAAAAATTAATTGAAGGAGCTTTATGAATTTTTCAAGGCAAAGAAAAACTTTAATCCAGTAGAAGAATTTTTGTCTTCCAAAGAAATAAGGTGGAAATGTATTCCTCCGAAAAGCCCACATTGGGGTGGTCTTTGGGAAGCAGCTATAAAAAGTACTAAATTTCATTTAGTTAGAATAATAGGAAACTCTAATTTGACGTTTGAAGAATTATATACAGTTTTAACACAAATAGAAGCAATTCTAAATTCAAGACCCCTCCAACCCTTGTCACATGATTCAAATGATTTAAATTGTTTAACCCCTGGACATTTTTTAATTGGCGATAGTCTTACCGCATTTCCTGAAAAGGATATATCCGATACTCTTGAAAATCGTTTAACCCGCTTTCAAAAATGCACTCGGGTTCAACAAATTTTTTGGAAACGCTGGACAAACGAGTACTTAAATCAGCTGCAAAACAGACCTAAGTGGTTGATACCACATCCAAATTTAAAGGTTAATGACATTGTTCTAATTAA